CGGCGTTTTGGGTCAAGGAAAACGCAGCGTTTTGAAAACACTTACATTTTAAAACGCAGTTTTCGTGTCGCAATGTGGACAGCGAACGCGGAGACTTTTTGAAAACGATGACACATTTTAGTCATGTGATGCAGTCATGTGACCAATTAAGCCAAGATAGCGGAGGGCATTACACAGCAGTTGTTTTGTTTGCTCTCAGTTTTGACAGCCCTATTAAAGATTCATATCAGTCTGTACATGCTCCAGATAGCTTTTCTTCAAATTCTTTAATTCTCACTCAACTTTGTACTTCTGTGTTATTCGCAGCAACAACTCCACCTCACTGTTAGCCCATTTAAAAATCTTTTCCTCGACATTTTGCCGCGACGTTTCAAAGAGCCGGAAAGTAAATAAGCAGCAGACAGAAATGAGGCAGGCTGAATCTCCTTGCGTTTCACGCTTGCGCAGGACTGGAACGTAAGCGTTTTCGGCCGTTTCAATGTGGACGCATAACTCTGTGAAAACAACTGAAAACACTAGTGTGGACGCGGAGCGTTTTCAGACGAAAACACAGTTTTCAAATCGGGCTGGTGTGGACGGAGCCTGTGTGTTGGCCCTGTGACAGACTGCTGACCTGTCCAGGGTGTACCCTGCCTCTCGCTCTAAGACAGCTGGGATAGCTGGAGCATGAATTGGATAAGCGGAAGAGAGTGAATGGACGGACCTATGGTTACGAGCTATGGCTAGCAACTAAAAACGTGGCTGGGCTCTCCATTAGAGAGAGTGAAGAGCTCAGTCTTTGCCTCCTCGATACTTATTAGGTCAGGCGTTTTTGGCATGTCTAACTGGGAGGAGGCCCCAGGGCTAGATTCAGGGCAGCCTGGAGATATTACATTCAGGGCTGGACTGGGACAAAAAATCGGCCCACCAGGTATTATAAGAAAAGCCATAAAGCCTTTGAATGAAAACAAATGCTGTTGTGACAGTGATGTATGCTGTCCTGTTGGTATATGTATAATTTCTATACATTTTACATCAGATGAAAAGTTTGGTCGTAAGACTCAGATAATTATTTTTTAAAAGCGAGACATTTTAAATGAGAATAAGAAAGAAAAGTATTTCTTTGTGCCCCCCTCTCCCTGTTAATGCCCTACCTGGGCCCCTGGCAAAACTTTGCTCACTGAAAATGAATAAATGAGTTCATTTGAGAATCATGTGCTTTACACCTTTCTGTGTGGTTTGTTTCTGGTAGAATAAGAGACTTGCATTGTAGGTCATCAGGTCTAATTCACTCAGAGTCAAACAAACCATCTCTGGGGTTAAAAATAACTTCAATGGCAGGTGAGACAGAGCCTACACACACACACACACACCGTCCTCAGTCTCCTGAAGAGGCCGAGCCCAAAGCCACAGGAGCCAAATGGGTCATTAAGTCCTCCCAGCTTTCCTCGCTCCCGTCAGGCTGCCGAGGTGTCAAAGCCACAACCGGGTGGCCTCCTGCTTCACATGGGGCCATTAAAACATTTCAGACACACCCCTAATTTCCATGGCAACCACTGCCTCGCCATCACCCCTTCAACAACAATGTCGTGTTCATCACAGCTTTCTTCCACTGGTAGAGGAGCACTTTCACACCACTACACTCGATCTACGCTGACTCGTATTTGGCTCTCCGGCTCAGTTATCGGCCTCACCTTTTCTTCACACAAGGAAACCAGAGAGAGCAAAGCGACAACCCCGCTAACATCAACTAACACCAAGCTCAGCTACATGACATTTGTGTCGATGGTCACAGAGACAAATTAGGACATCACAAAGTCGTAAAATGTCTCACCTTTTTATGACTAAGAGGCACAACACCTGGCTCCCTAATCAACCGTTTTTTCCGTCAAGAAGGAGGCGTTTGCTATGAAATGAGACAGCATGACATTCGTTTACGATCACTTCAATGATACATCAGTCCAGGAGCTCAGAGAATCACAAATGATACAGAGGGTGCTAATGCAACCAGTGTACTAAATCCAGTAATTACATTACAATTGCATTTATGTCATGCTGGGTGGGAACATCAAACAAGCACACTTCTTTCATCCTGCGCTACAATCAGCTGATTTCAGTTTGTGTGTGGGAGGAGTTAAATGGTGGAGCGAAGTAGAACTTGTCAGCGTCTCCATCCCAGCAGCCAGTCTGTCACCTGATCTTCGACAGGTAACAGACTGATGGGCAGTCAGGCTTGCAGCCTCCATGTTTCTACAGTAGAATCACCATGACGACCACTTTAAAGAGCCTTTGGGCTGGTTTTGATGCTTTGTGTAGACATTGAAATAAATACCAGATGTGTACTCTCGTTAGGACATTAGCACAGGGATTATTGGTGTGTGGGACTGTAGCTTATGGTTTATGTCACTAACTGGTAATTATGTAACAATGTGTTCCAGGTCATTTTACAAAGTAACAAGAAAATAAATGTAACAAACTGGTTCTGTTCTGGGCAGTTAAGCAACGTACTGCATTACTTTTAGGAAAAATAATTACTTTTCATGGATACTTTAACTAAAAAAGTAATCCCCCCCGCCCAAAAGTAACTGGTTGCAACTGCTGGGAAAACTGGGACTTGGGCACTGTTTTTGTGCCACGCATCCATAACAGCACATATCATGTTTTGTGCATGCTAAATACGATACCTACAGTTTTTAAAAATCCAAAAACACTGAGGTGAAACTTTAGCTTTAGCACTGAAGGGCAGAAAGTTGTTTGTCCATCCTTTTAATTCAAAGTTGCCTCAAATGTCAAATAAAAGTTACAGCACCCTCGTCCGCCTCTAATCAATAATATGCAGCAACCAAGAGCCACAAATCCTCTCTTCCAAAATCATAAATGGCGAGAGAACCCCCCCAGAAACAGGAGCAGTGCTCTGATTTCTGCTGAGCCACCTAGAAACAGGAGCTTCAAACAGAACACAGTGAACATGCTGAAATCTAGAAGGATGTTTCGCTTCATTAAAGGCAGAGCAGCTGATGTATAAGCACAGTTAGGTAGCACTATCAACTTGTGAAAACTTGCCTATAATCTTCCCCAAATATTCTTGATTCCCCAAACGAGAGCAGAAAAAGACATTTCAGAGAGAAGAGAGCAGCATGTGTCACTCTGTTCCTTGATGTGCATTTCAGAAATGACAAAGTAGAATTTCCTGTATTCATTCATTTCTTTGTCATCAATTTTCCAGTAGAGACAGACTGATAATATGTGAACTGGGAGGAAACTAGTGCAGAGGCACTCATAAAAACAGTGTTGTTATTTTTTTCAAGGTTCAGTAGGAAAGAAATTTGAACTACTGGGATGAATAACTAGAAACATACAAGCTCATTTTCATCAAAACGCGACATCCTCATAGTTATTTCTTATATAAGCCTTCAAGTTTTTTCTTCTCATAAATGTAAGTCTTTTCTGCGCATGAAAGTTCAGTAAGCCGGTGATTCTGAATTTCCATGGATGTGAATGCGAGCGTGAGTGATCGTCTGTGTCTCTGTGTTAGACCTGTCGTGGGCGTACCTTGCCTTTAGCCCTATGACAGCTGGGACAGGCTCCAGCACCCTAACGACCATGTTAATAAAATCCATGGATGGAAATTTGATAGTTTTTTCTCATGAATTTACAACTTTAATCTAGAGATTTTTTTTTCTCAGAATTTAATAGCCTCACTGAGCCACTTAATGTTTTATTTTATTTTTTAAAAAGAATTTTTAAACCGTCAGTGACCCAAATACACCATCATGCCCTAGCTACAACCTTTTTCCCTTTCGGCTGCTCCCTTAAGCGGAATTTACGGTTCAGCAGGGAGACCACATTTGCAATCCACTGAACCATAAGTTCTCTGCAGGTAAACAGAGATGGCCCATCTACCTGCATAGAGCTCAGTGGTCAGAGGGAGGCAGTACACAAAAATATGTAATAAAGCTGGTCTGGTACCCACTCTTGCTTGTGCTATTGTTGTTTTATGTGTAATTTGTTCATGCAGAAGTAAAGCTATGGAAAAAAATCTAAGGTTTGACAACAGTGATGTGATCATACTGTGCCTGCATGTGAAGGAAAAAACATAAAAATGCAACGGTTAAAAATCCATAGAACATATCAATACAGTGATCAATAGAGATTCAATCATCTGAAGTCCAAAGTTTAAATGACTTTTGTAGATTAAAGTATGCTTGAGATCAAGCCCCCCCACCCCACCCCCAAAAAAGCATCATGCTGCACATTTTCATAACATTTGTTCTATGAAAATTTGGCAGCACAAATTATAACAGAAGAAGAAGAAACAAAACTAACAGCATATACAGTGCTTAATGTTTTCCACTGGTGCACTCAGTTACTACCATCTCCAGCTACAACATTAAAGGGATGTACACATTAATAAGTCAATAATTGTGATCCCATAAGATTCCACATAATGTGTATGTCTTCTTTAGTACATGTACTTGAATGCCCAACTGTGTAATTTTGACTTAAGTAAAAACGAAATACTTCTATCACTTCTTTCTAAATCAGTTATTACGTACTAAACAACCTTCAGAGAAACTTTTCATCTGTGTTTGGACTCACTGCTGCACTTAAGTGTGAAATCTTTTGTGTTTTCTGCCAGATTTGTCTCCTGCATTTATTTCTGATGATATATTCTGATTTCCCGTGGTCCCCCGTGTGCCTTGCTCTTGGTCTCCACATGTGCCACCCCGTGGAAAAAAACCCTGGAAACGCCCCTGCCGGTGTAATAAAATAATAATCATACCACCCACTCCTCAGACTGTTGCAAGCTCTGATCTTTGTGCGGGTTTTATGGGCCTGCAGGTTCCGGGCCATTAATATAGAGGTGCAGTGGACAGAATAAGGAGATAACAGTGCGCTCCCAGCCTACAGTAATCATTAACCCCTTCTATTCTCACGCAAATGAGCTCCCAGCGCACCATGCCCGACTGAGAATGGAGATGCAGGGCTAATTCAGAGATAAAGTCCAAAGGTTCACTCACCACTTGTCCGGTCGTAAATGTAAATCCCACAGTGCCTGCGTGGTAATTTCCGACACCGGGACACCACGTCTCCTGTAGTGGGAAAACTCCGCTACCCTGTCGGCTCAGCCCTGCTGTGCTCCGTCTCCCTCCTGGCTGCTTTTTTAACAGTAAACTTGCCGAACCCAGCCTATTGTTAGCGAGGCGCAGAGAAGGCTGCTGCACAGAAACGCCCGCCTCCTCCAGCGCCATTGGACCCCGTTCAGCCTCTCTCTCCTCCGATTGGCTGAGCCAGATGTCCCCTAGAATCCAGGGCGGGTCGCAGCGCTCCGGTTCAGAGCGCGCCGTGGTGCATTCACAACACTAAAAAAATAGTGAGAAATTATACTTTTCGTTGGGTACTGGCTCCCGGCGTTGCTTTCATGTTTGACACTGACAGTAGATCGTGAAAGCAGAAAGAATAAGGAATTTATGAAACCATGAATAAGACCTGATTATCAAGACACAGATATGGGAGCAGTCTGTGCCAGTCAGCCAAAAATGCAAGTCAAAAAGTTTTATCTACGAAACATATTTAAACACAAGTAACGGAAAGATTTTTACTTTATCATGATATCATTTTGATAAATGTTTTATTGTATTAAGCTAGATTATTTGTATATGCAACGTGTAACAGTTAGCTAACTGTTACATGTTACATAGCTATTTAAGATGTCTTATGTTATCTGAAATAAATCTGTTAAATAAAAAAAATACCATCTGACTCATTTTAATAAAAAAACGTAGAAGTAAGTTTAATGTTTTTAATGTTTCCTTTAACAATGAAAATAGTTGTTAAAACAAATAAATCAATTATTTGATGATACAGACTTACTGGGGTAAACGGCATGGTAAACAAAGAACATGCTTGGGAAATTAACTTAATGAAGAGGGGAAAATAAAAGAAACCTAAGAAACAATAAATATAACAAATAGATTATATCTCCAGAACTTTCATTTGCATGTATGACATTATTAGATTAAAAATATATAATTTTGTAATCAAATTTTTTCAAAGTAAATAATTAAGACAGGTTATTCTACGTACTGTTGCCTCATTAAGTGGGTCCAGGGTAAAAATTGGGGAGCCTAAGAAAAGTTGTAACGCTCTATAAAAATATGCTGTGTCTGTAATAACTGGACGAACATCTATAACTGCTTCTTCTCATTTAAAACCTGAGATAGAAAGAAGCCTAAATTTAAGAAGGTGTTGAGCCGTTTTAAGAATCTGAAGATAAAATTATATTTCCTCCACTGGTAAACTCAAATTAAACATGTGGAGAAACACTTTTTCTGGTTTTACTTTATGGGGAAAAAACAGAAGAAAAAAGAATTTACAATAAATTTGATGTCAGTTCCATCCAATCACATTTCATGTCAGGTTAAACGAGCCACAATTACATGAAAAGAAGAATGGGATGGCGCCATCAAGTGGCGAGAGGCTGTTCAAGCCTCACGGTGGAAATGGGGAACGCACATAAACTCAAACGGGCAAACGGCTGTTTTCTAGTTCTGAAAAAACAAAACCCAAGAAAGTTTGGAAAGATTTGGAAAGCGGCGGGGGCAAAAATTTGCTCAGGTCCTTGCTGAAGAAAATTTTTCTAAAATTTCCCACAATTATAAACAATACACTCACTATATACACGACTCTCACAATAAACATTTACTGCCTGTCTTATGAAAAAATAATTCCTAATTTTCCCAATTTGTTTGGACAATGATTAGAAAAACATAAAATAAGATAATAAGTCACACTGACAGAAAACTGAAAGTAAGAAAATATCTCTTTATTATCTTTATGTCTGTAGACATGCTGCTTTCAGTGGTTTCAGTGGTTCGTTTCATCCCACACACACAAACAATTTCACACACATCCAAATGTTTTTTCGCATATTCTGTGTCTATGTGTGTGTAAGCTTAAATTTTGTCCAGATATTCACCAGTAATAGAGGCTGAATGTTAATGATTTTAGTAGTACTCTGACAGTGATATTTTCTTTGGTGGTTCATGGTTTCCTGAGGACTGACAGCTGAGCGTAAAACAAAAGAGATTTTAATGGATTTAAATAAAATAAGACAAATGCACTACAGATAGTTTACATGATATTCCAAATAGAGTCTAAAACTACAAGGAAGCAACAGTACTCCAAGTCAAAGGAACATGAGGAGCTGGCACTGAAAAATGTGGGTGTCTGGGCTCAGCTTTAAAAATATGGTGAGGAGCTTGGTCATGACTGACCTCATAGCTCAGGTGTTTCAGACATCTTCTACCTGGAGGAGACCCATGACACTTTGTTTTTCAGCAGCCCTAGAAACACCTTTGTGTCTCCCAGAAGAAGATGAAGATGGCTGTGGAGACATCCCTACTACCCCCAAACCTGGACGTGTATATGTTGTGGCTATGATGTGACACAGTTTAAGCCTACACTCTGTGCATTCATATCCACAAACCAAAACACACGATGAAATATATGAGTGAGGCTTTCAAAGTTCTTCTTATCTGATGTGTATTACATCACTGTAGAACAAACCATAAAACTGTAAAATGTACTTTCAAAACTATCCAGTGGGCTGGGTTGGACACAAAGGCCCGGTTTAGTCCCCCAGATCACACATTTGATACTTCTGAACCTGCGCAACAAACTTTGTGAGAGCTGTAAAGTATAAAAGCCGCTTGATAGACAGAGCACTTGATATCGAGCCAAATGCTTCAAAGTGTTCCTTGATGATGTGATAAAGAAGTGGCTTTCCTCCTCCAACCTCAAACAGGAAGCTCATGAAGCGAGCAGTGTCAGTGTTTGGGCGACACTCACCAGGAGACCTCTGAGCAGGATGGCTGCAGTCGCACAGCTCTGCTTCTCCCTGCTGTTCACTCTCATCAGCAACATTCATGCAGACGAATTTATCGTGATAATCGAGGAAGAAGGATTCAATCTCCCAGATGAGGGCAACTTCTGCACTTCACAGTATATGAAGATCTGACAGGATGACTCTCGGTTCCTGATATATTTCATGGTTCTTCTTCATTTACTCTCAACAACCTGACGGACTCGGACTCTGGACTGTACCAAGATGTGTGCTGGACTCAGGGCAATGTGACATATGAGAGACACATAAGCCTGACTGTGTGTAGGACAGTAAGTGATTGAATATGCTTTATTGAAAATCATGAAGCAACAGCAGTAGTACATTATGAGCGAGTAGGTGACAATCTGATGGTCCAGTGGATCAAATGTGAGTTTTCATGGGAATTTTGCATGGGGAGGACATTTCATTGGCAGTATGATCTGGACCAGTCCTGCTAATGGGTTAAGGACCTCCTGAAGGTCCAGAAGGATGGCGCCAGCTCTCCTAGAGTGACTGTTTGTCTCCTGAAATCTCCTCCATGCTCTTGAGCTTGAGACTGTGGTGGGAGACAGAAAACTTTCTAGCAATGGCATCAATTGATTGCCAGCTGGAAAAAAGTCCTTTCTGACAGCAGATGTTGTGCAAATTTGTGAATGACACTGGTACTGACTGGGATCAGTGGCTGCCTTACCTCCTCTTTGCGTATAGAGAAGTACCCCAAACTTCTACTGGCTTCTCACCTTTTGAACTGTTATATGGTCATGAAGTAAGGGGCCCCCTCTCTTTGCTAAAAGAAATGTGGGAGGGTGACCGGTGTGTGATAGATGCATGCAACCACACAACAGAAATACTTGGGTAATATTCATTTGATCTTTTTGTCTTATGTTTACATTATGATCTAAAGCTTCTGTGATCATAAGTTAACTAATTTGATATTTTGAGTTTACCTGTAATGCATGACAGCACTAACCTATAGTCCAAATGGTGGCAAAGACTCTGTTTTGCATTGTTTGTTATTTTATATGGGTATATGTTATATTAATTACATTTCTGTTGTTTCTGAGTTACCTGGCCTCCGCTCCAGTCCTTCCTGGTTTGGCTGAAAGAGGAGGCTGAGGGTGGAGCTGATTTAATTGCAGAAGCCAATAAAATGGACAGGACCATCACATCATTGTGATCATGTAAGGGGAATGGGGATCTTCTTGAATGATGGTTAGCTGTTATCGCTCCAGTTTTCACCTTGGGTGTATATAATGGTTTGCTCATTTGCTATATAACTGGAGCTGTTTCTCATTTGGGCAGGTCAGTTTGTTGAGTTATGTTTTGTTAAGTGACTTTTGAGTAGAGTTCTGTTAAGTTAACCTCTTTTATGGGCCCACTTGGTTCTTAAAAAAAAGTTTATTTTTGTCATTTTGAATTTTTGTAATCATCTCGTCCTTTTTGGGGTATAATAAAACCCATTTTTTGAAGATTACATTTGTGCCTGTGTGCACATTCACTAATCTACCACCCAGTTTGTGACATGAAAAGAGAAACAGGACCAGTAAGCACTTGGACTCATGTGCCTCATCTTTTACCCTCAAAGAAAACATTAGTGCACCATTAGTACATCTCAGAAACACCTTCTTTCTCAGGAAGCCACATGAAGAGTAATACAAGGTGGGCCATTTAAAATGGGAATGGTTGGTGATATTAAAGTCCTGTTTGTGGCACATTAGTATATGTGAGGGGGCAAACTCCTCAAGATGGGCGGTGACCATGCTGGCCATTTAGAAGTCGGCCATCTTGGATACAACTTTTGTTTTTTTCAATAGGAAGAGGGCCATGTGACACATCAGACTTATTGGTAATGTCACAAGAAAAACAATGGTGTGCTTGGTTTCAACGTAACTTTTTAGAGTTTGTTGCATGGATTCAGGGGTCACAGATGCTGCTGGGGGGAAAGTGTACGGATAATCAGATAAAAATCATTTGTGCATGTGTGTTACTAAGATGAAGACACAAACGTGTGTTCATCTTATTCTAAAATAGCAGATTATGAAGTCAAGAGAAAACGACTTCAGTATGAAATAGTGCTGTCAGTGTTAATCTAGTTAAAATGACGTTAATGCCATAACCGCATTAATGCAGCAAATTTCGTTAGCGAGTTAACGCAGATCGCCCTGTGCATGTGGCTGGACGGTGCTAACGCATTAACGAGCTAACCGCACGAAGGTGTTGACACCGTGCACGGGATCATCCGCATTAACTTGCTAACTGAGATTTGCCGCGTCAATGCGGTTAACGTCACTTTAACGAGACTAACGCTCACAGCACT